CTCGACACTAACTTTTCAACTTACTAGCCTAGTGGCTAGTGATAACTTAGATGTTACTAGCCAAAACGTTTTTTTACTAGCCAAATACTTGTGGTTGACTACCTTATTACATGAAATTTTTGTGACACATTTATTTCGCGATTTGGGGGTGCGCATATTTCGCAACACTTAAATTCGCTGAATTTGCTAAAATTTTGTATTTTGAATCACTTTTATTTCACGTTTTTGAGTAAGACAAAATTTATTTCCTTGGCAATGCTACTTAAACATGTCTTTGAATTTAGTAAACTTTATCAAAGGTATAATAACGTCAAAAGTAACAAAAATGCAATGCGGTACTATATGTCAACAGTAACATAATGTGTTATGTTCCCGACACTTACTTATTCGCGTCACTTTAATTTCACGATTTTTTTTTTAAATCACAAAATTCACAAAATTAACGTGTCGTGAAAATTTCAGGTAACAACAGATTACTGGCAAGCACAATGCGAGCGACTCTCTTTAATACATAACGTTGGTAATTATACCGTACTTAAACTAGTTTCTGTGGCACGGAAACTAATTCAAAATATATTGAACCACATACGTAAGAAAAAACTATATAGAGCTATAAAACTGATTTTTGATCATATGGACTGGTAATACATTTGGTTTCGTTTTAGTGGTTTTAAAGTTTTTGAAAGCGATTGCATTCAGATAAATGAAATGTGAGAATTTGGGCTGTGTATCTAATTTCCATAATATTTAATATTTTAGGCCCAGTTCAGACGCCGAACTTTCAATGAGCCGAACCAAATACATTTAATTAAGTACGTGAAAAGTTTGGCGTTTGAATCAATGAATGAGTTGCCAGTAATCGGATACCCATGTTTGCGCAAAGAACTCTGGTATAGTCAGGGGGCAAACATTGCAAGTCGCTAGAAGGAAATGTATGGCAAACAGTTGTCAAGCTTTTTGTCCTCAATGAAAAATGCTGCCAAACATTTGCATTTACATTTAAACTCCCTTTTGCTTGCCTGAGGTTTATTGTGAAATACATTGAAGAGAATATTGAAAATTTCAATACACGCCTGATCTTGAGAGGCTACCTGGTGCAAATGGTAGAAAAAACCTCTCCGAGAAGTTAAATATAAAGACAGAAAAGAAGCTCTAAAACAGAAATTGAAAATTGTAGAAGGAACTACTACCCTTTGTGTCGGGCAATTTCACTCAACCGTCAATACCAAACTTTGGAAATGTGGCATAATCACGCACAAATGGCACTTTTTAATAGAAATACTCAGAGATATATTCAAGGAGCCACCCGTGATCTGTTATAGAAAAGGAAAATCACTGAAATACGTGCTTGTA